CGAGTTTTAAGACTTAAGAGACTTGAGGTCAAGTCTAAGCAGAACCTCGCAAGTAGTGATCATGACAATAACTCTGTTGACAGGCCTGATGATATTGAACAGGCACAGGAGGGAATGTACTAATCATGCACATTACACTCAGCGTACCGACAGTGTCCAGGCACCGAACATAGGAATAGAAACAGAGAATAAACACCCTTTCACATGACGTGTTCCGAGACACATGTTTACACACATATGCAGTGGACATACATATACTATGTTGTATGATGATGATGTGGTGGTTAGAGTACTTAGCTTACACGGAAAAGGTTCTGACTTCAAATCCCAGTCACGAGTCAACCCAGGCTACATTCCCTCATTCTGGCTCTCTGGAGTTTTAGTCCGACTTCCTGGATTTGGTTTTGAAAAATGTACTTCAAACTCACGGTGAGCTGAAACAATGAAAATTGGCACGTAAAATTTTTGTACCCTTACAATGTATCTTTTTTGGCTGTTGGGTGGGTGTAGCCTAATCCAAGTTTTGTTTCATAATACTATATTATATATTTATATAAGTATATAAAGTTTTGCCGTCTAGCGGGCACACAGGCGGGCAATTTTGCGGTGGTGACGTTATGCCATGGGACGTGGCAATTCCACGACTAGTTCAGCGCTGTTAGCCAGGATGAGTGTCACCCAGTTGCTTGGTTGAGCAGTCAAGACACTGACCCAGCATCTTGTGCTGGGTGTTTGTTTTGTCGGACGTCTTCTTGTGAAAAACGTTTGCCGTCTCGATCATCGACAATGCGGCGAATCACCAAGGCGAGCCGTTTCGTCGAGACGTGAATCTGGCCCCATGACCGGGGACTCTCGGCATGCTCGCACACGTAGTGCCATTTACACAGCGAGGAGATGCGAAAAGACGTGCGACTCGATGAATTATTACGACGGCGATGCCTACGGTTTGCCACGGTATCGCGAAGTATCTATGCATGCTGAACTTCTTTCGCACCGCATGCAGGCGACCGTGATATTCGGAGGTGCGGGGGAAGGACAACAAACTGTGTATCGTAATTGTATGGCTTGTACAAATATTGTTATAAATCTAAAATATCATTATCATTGCTATTAAAAAAAAAACATTTATTACTTACCAAATAGTTCCAAAATAACAGAATTATTGAAGTTCCACGTAGACATGAGTGCCATTTCAAATTATATGAGTGGATTAAAAACATTTTACGGAGTAATTGACAGCATGGGGGTTATATGACATTGTCAATTTAATAGTATTTAACACGTAGGCTTTCGCGACCAATATTATTCATAATAAAGGTTTTTGGGTTAGATCGCGTTTATTTATAAATGTGTCGCAACCCTCCACCACCCGACACGGCCAATCAGCAAAAAAAGTGTCACGTTGACAAAAGACAAATAATTCACTACTTCAGCCCACCGGTGTGTTGAAGAGTTAATCCACATTTACAGTTTGAGTACGACGTTTCGCTGGTAAATACTTCCAGCATCATCGGGCAATTCGCCAGAATGGTAAAGCCCTCGCTTGCTCCCGGTTTTATATAGAGCAGCAGGGTGACGTCATCACTTAACTCATCAGGTGCAGTGATTAGAGGCGGAGGGGGGGGGGGGTAATGTAATTATATAATCGATTAGTAATCAGTCATTGGTTATGATTAGTAATGAGTTGTAGATTAGTAATTCTTTAAATCAAAATGTAATGTGTATTATTTAATAATACGCTTCCAGGCCGCACTAAGCCGGTAGCTGTCAGAACGATTAAAGTTATTCTTGTTCCTCTCAATTTCAATGGATTCTCTAATTAGTCTTTGCCAGTAATAATTAGTTTTACACACCACTGCAACATTGTCAAAATCAATTGAGTGTCCTTGTTGACAAGCATGTTCTGCCACTGCCGACAGTTGTGTTTGAGATAATTTAATATTTCTCTGATGTTCTTTTAGTCTTACGCTGATGTTACGTCCCGTCTGCCCAATGTAGCAGCTGCCACATGAACAATTAATCCGATATACACCTTCTGTTGATAGTTTAGGTAATGCGTCTTTAGTGCAAGATACTAGTTTTTGAATTTTGTGTACTGTACCAAATCTTACTGTAATGTTTTGCTTTTGCAAAACGCGGGCTAATTTGTCAGTTACTCCTGAGATATATGGAATTTTTATTGTTTTAACAATCTGGTCGCTTTCAGTAGTATTGCTTTGCGATCGTGATTTGGCATTCAGTGCTCTGTTAATTTGAGCATTATTGTAGCCATTCTGTCGCAGTGCGTCTTTAACGTGTTTAATCTCTCTCACTAGACTCTCACCATCTGACACCGTTTTCGCCCGATGTACGAGCGTCTTGATAAGAGAGGATTTTTGAGCTGGATGATGATGTGATTCTGCATTCAGATAGGCATCAGTGTGCGTTTGCTTTCTGTAAACGCTGTGTGTTATTTTACCGTTTAGGCCATGCCCAAGCAAAATATCTAGGAATGGGAGTGTGTTATTCACCTCCATTTCCATGGTGAACTGGATGGCCGGGTTTTGTGCATTGAGATGATTTAGAAAATCATTAAGTGTATCTTTACCATGTGGCCAGACAACCAAAGTGTCATCCACATACCTAAACCAAAAGGATGGTTTTAATGTGCTCGAGGCAAGTGCTCTTATTTCAAAGTTTTCCATGAACAAATTTGCTATAGCAGGGGATAAAGGAGAACCCATTGCTGCTCCTTCCTTTTGTTTAAAGAAATCCCCTCTCCATAAGAAGTAAGTGTTATTTAAACAATGGCCAGCAAGTTTCGGAATATCTTTTTGTAAACCGGTATTCTTTACTAGTGTATCAAGTAATTTAAGCGATTCGTCCACTGGAACCTTAGTGAATAGAGAAATAACATCAAAACTTACCAGAATATCATCAGGAGTAAGTTTAATATCTTTAATCACATTCACAAGATGTTCTGAATTCCAGTGGACGAATCGCTTAAATTACTTGATACACTAGTAAAGAATACCGGTTTACAAAAAGATATTCCGAAACTTGCTGGCCATTGTTTAAATAACACTTACTTCTTATGGAGAGGGGATTTCTTTAAACAAAAGGAAGGAGCAGCAATGGGTTCTCCTTTATCCCCTGCTATAGCAAATTTGTTCATGGAAAACTTTGAAATAAGAGCACTTGCCTCGAGCACATTAAAACCATCCTTTTGGTTTAGGTATGTGGATGACACTTTGGTTGTCTGGCCACATGGTAAAGATACACTTAATGATTTTCTAAATCATCTCAATGCACAAAACCCGGCCATCCAGTTCACCATGGAAATGGAGGTGAATAACACACTCCCATTCCTAGATATTTTGCTTGGGCATGGCCTAAACGGTAAAATAACACACAGCGTTTACAGAAAGCAAACGCACACTGATGCCTATCTGAATGCAGAATCACATCATCATCCAGCTCAAAAATCCTCTCTTATCAAGACGCTCGTACATCGGGCGAAAACGGTGTCAGATGGTGAGAGTCTAGTGAGAGAGATTAAACACGTTAAAGACGCACTGCGACAGAATGGCTACAATAATGCTCAAATTAACAGAGCACTGAATGCCAAATCACGATCGCAAAGCAATACTACTGAAAGCGACCAGATTGTTAAAACAATAAAAATTCCATATATCTCAGGAGTAACTGACAAATTAGCCCGCGTTTTGCAAAAGCAAAACATTACAGTAAGATTTGGTACAGTACACAAAATTCAAAAACTAGTATCTTGCACTAAAGACGCATTACCTAAACTATCAACAGAAGGTGTATATCGGATTAATTGTTCATGTGGCAGCTGATACATTGGGCAGACGGGACGTAACATCAGCGTAAGACTAAAAGAACATCAGAGAAATATTAAATTATCTCAAACACAACTGTCGGCAGTGGCAGAACATGCTTGTCAACAAGGACACTCAATTGATTTTGACAATGTTGCAGTGGTGTGTAAAACTAATTATTACTGGCAAAGACTAATTAGAGAATCCATTGAAATTGAGAGGAACAAGAATAACTTTAATCGTTCTGACAGCTACCGGCTTAGTGCGGCCTGGAAGCGTATTATTAAATAATACACATTACATTTTGATTTAAAGAATTACTAATCTACAACTCATTACTAATCATAACCAATGACTGATTACTAATCGATTATATAATTACATTACCCCCCCCCCCCTCCGCCTCTAATCACTGCACCTGATGAGTTAAGTGATGACGTCACCCTGCTGCTCTATATAAAACCGGGAGCAAGCGAGGGCTTTACCATTCTGGCGAATTGCCCGATGATGCTGGAAGTATTTACCAGCGAAACGTCGTACTCAAACTGTAAATGTGGATTAACTCTTCAACACACCGGTGGGCTGAAGTAGTGAATTATTTGTCTTTTGTCAACGTGACACTTTTTTTGCTGATTGGCCGTGTCGGGTGGTGGAGGGTTGCGACACATTTATAAATAAACGCGATCTAACCCAAAAACCTTTATTATTAATAGTATTTATTGTATAATTTAAAGCATGTGCAATCTAGGTGTTATAGATAGTAAAGTTTACATAATTAGTGTTGAGAGAACTGCATATTTAGAACTTTTAAGAAATATCGATTCATACTGAAAGTACGGCAAATCACAAAAAACAATAAAACGATATTTAGAATGCAAAATATAATTACAGTCGATCAGCTGGTTACGCATGAAGTGGTAAAGTGTGGGTACTGCAACCTCTTATAAAATATCTCACCACCTAAGAAGAGTAGACCAAGTACCCTCTAGAGGGGCTTTATAGAATTCCCTCCAGTGGAGGCCACTTCAGCGGCAGCGGCGTGAGTAAATCATTGCAGAGCTGCACCTTGTCATTATTACAATTGCAAAATCACGGAAAACTGACATCGCGATAATCATGTTGCGTTGTGAAAAATGACATCGGTGGAGAAACAACAGACGGCGAGCATCCGATGCCCACCTTGTTGACGGACTGCGACGTGCCGAAGAAGATGGGGATGAAGATGAGCCAGATGATGCAGGTGGTGTACATGGTGAAGCCGATGGGCTTGGCCTCGTTGAATCCCTCGGGCACGCCGCGGGTCTTGATGGCGTACACGGTGCACGTGACCATGAGCAGGATGCTGTAGCCCAGCGAGCAGATGAGTGCCAGGTCCGAGATGTCGCACTGGAGCACCCAGTGGGCCTCCATAGGGTCAAGCGTGCGCTGTTCGTTGATGAACACCTGCCATTTCACGAAGTGAACAAAGCGAAGAGACTTGTGTTGTGGCCGAAACGTCGTGATTTTTGCTGTTTTATTTTTTACCTACGTGACTTTACCGAATAGAACCAAAGAGTAAAGCGAAGAGACGCCAGCTTAGCGGAAAAAACGTATTCCGAAGGAGGATAGACCGTTTCCGAAAGTCCGTCGCTTGTAGCTACGCGCTTGAGATGCGCGATTCTCCGAAGCATTTTCGATTTGTTACCGCGTGCCGTTCGGCATGACGTCCCGGACGCTTCCGTGTGCCGGGGAGTTTCTTCAGCAAAACTAAAAAATATCTCCCTAGGATTGCTGTCAGCGTTGCCGGCTCGTGAAGCTAATCGGTTGGGCCCCCGCTGACCGTAGGCCGGCCAAAGCGGGAGAAAACCGGAGATAGCCGGGGGGAAAGCTCACCCACGCGCGTGGGGTGGCAAGATTGGTCGAGCAATCCAGCTGGAGCGAGCTCGCTGCATCGAACAGCACGTGGCACGACCCGAGAACACGTCGGAGAAGTAGAAATTCATTTGTATCAGCCGTGTGTGCACGACACAGGTGTTGCCATTGCTTGGGGCACGTACGCCTGCACGGATTTGTACTTTTTGGTGCAAATTTATGGCGGGGAGCCACATAAATGGGGTATCGTGAAAACTGCACAGCCAACGGTTTGTGAATCACTGAGCATGCAATTATTGATAGTACTGTGTTTTATTCATGCATTTAATTATGTAATCATCTAATTTGCGGTTTCCTAAATTTTAGCACGGAAGTGCTTAGCAGCAAGTGTCATCTACTGTAATTATGCATTAATGCCAGAATAATAAGCACCCATTGTTTTAAACATCATAGGAAACATTCTCGAGATGTATTTTTTGTAGAGTTAGCAATATTAAATGGCGTCATGGTGATTCCACCAAAGCATCACCTGAGACATTAAACGCACGCAGATGGATGTCTGCTAACAGCAAATATGTAGGTCTGGTTTAAAATATTTTTTTCTCCATAAAACCATTTGTATGCAAAGCATTGTTACAATAACCTAGTGAAAAACACAATTTATTTAACATAATGCCATTATTTCAATAAAGGCATGGAAAATATTAACATTCACCTTGCCTTTACCCGGTATTGTTAGCAGACAAATTTCCAATTTTAAAACGTGACTACATAGTTTGCATAGTTGAAAAACTATTTAAATAGTCATTAATTGATAGATGTATCTATTTGGAGGCCAAACATAAGTGCCTGTTTCATGTATAGTAATTACATGACATACTTAATTCTTTAAATTTTATTCTGAGCTGCAATAACATTTTGCTGGCAACAGAATAGACGTGATCCTGCGAGATAGCACTGCGGTAACAGTGCTGTAAAGTATTTTGAGTTGAAATCCTGCTCAGCAGTTGGCTTAACTTAAAATTCCTCCGTGCTCACTCGAAATGAGTAGCCCTTTATGAAATATTAAAAACGGCCTTTCTATCGGGAGACTGGTTTCTGCTATGGCCATGTGTAATTTCCATCATTTGCCAAGGGCTACGGCCAAAGGATGAGTTTCCAACTTTCCAACAAACTTGACAATTTTGTCTAACACCTATGACAGGTTACTCCATGCCTCCTTATCAACACCATTAATTAAGGCGCGCAATCAAATCGTCGCTCCGCGCGCCAGAGCGATTCTAGACACGGGCCAACTAACCGAGAGACGCCCGCGTCGAACAGCATTGAACAGTTCAAGCAAACAAAGCAAAGGAAACTTTAAAAATTCAAAAAACCTGCGGTGGGTTGGCACCGAACCACACGAACACACCCAAGAGCTGCACCGAGATGAGGCTGAACGCGATGACGAGCTGCGACGCGGGGCTGATGAAGCGCGGCGGCGCCACGGACTTCTTGCCCTGCTCGAAGATGCGGTGGATGCGGTTTGTCTTGGTGAGCAGCGCCGCGTAGCTGATGCACATGCCCAGGCCGAGGAAGAGGCGCCGCAGCGTGCACAGCGCCACGCTCGGTGCGGCGATCATCAGGAACGTGACGACGTAGCACAGGAAGATGCCCGTGAGCAGCGTGTAGCTGAGCTCGCGGCCGGACGCGCGCACGATGGGCGTGTCATTGAAGCGGGCGAACGTCGCCGCCACGAACGACGTCGCCAGGATGCCGAGCACGGCGACGAAGAGGGGCACGGCCGCCCAGGGCGAGTGCCACTCGAGCTTGACGGTCGGGAAGGGGTGGCAGGCCGTGTGGTTGGCGTCGGGCCGCAGGTGGTAGGGGCACAGCTTGCAGGTGAAGTCCTTGTGCAGGTAGGTGTAGCCCTCGCAGCGCTCGCACGTCCAGCAGCACGGGACGCCCTTGAGCTGCCGGCGCCTCTCGCCCGGCTCGCACTGCACGCTGCACTCGGACGCGGGCGGCGGCTCGTGGGGGACGCGCACCCACTGCAGCGCGTTCATCTGTAAACGGTGGGTGGGGGGAGGGGGGCAGGGGCGGGAGGGGTGGGGGGCACGCGGGGGGCACGGGATGAACGACAGATGGGCAGCAGCAGCAGCAGCAGCAGACAATGCACCAGGGAGTCGCGGTTGGTCGTGGCGGAGCCAAATTTGGTTCACGAGGGAAGGAGGTGATGCCAGGATGCCCCCCCCGGAGGTCAGACAGCCGAGTTCACGCCGCTGAGAACCAAGGTTTGATCCAGGATTTCGGACGCCCGCGACTCAACGGGGGTTCTCGAGTGTAGTGAATTCGTGGTCATCTTGGCCCGGTCACCAATGAGTCATATAGAGGCCCATTGACTTGAACAGAGACCCACATTCATAACATAGATTGGGCTGTGATTACACCAGGTTCTCTAGCGTAGTGAGTTGATGGTTTCAGCCCGATAACCAATGACTGCATAGAACAAAAGCCCATCACGTTAAATTTGTTCACGCACTTAAATTGGCAACATTCTTGCTCTCAGGATTAAACATATCGGTTTGATTTTCACGCAATGATTATTAAAAAGTGCTACCCTCTACCGTGCGGACCAAAGGCCACTTGAAGGGGTCCCAGAAGTAGCTCTGCCATCTCCTCTGGCTGGAGCCATTCTCGATACGAAGGGTTGCACCGCTCTGTAACAGATCCAATTGAATACTTTGTCTCATGGCATGACGCCAGGGACACAATTGGCACGCCCTGGAACTTTGAAGAAAATGGAAACAATTCTTGTCTTGGAGAATGTTCCCTTGCATATACATTTGCAGAAGAAAAAAAAAATGCATATGCGTGTGCATCGCCAAAATAAAAGAGTAATTTAGCGCTGTGTGTGGCAGTTGTTTGTTGAAGATGAGAATCTGTACCATGATGTAATCAGGTTGATAATCACTTTAATTAATTATCATATTTGCGACATGCACAGTTGGATCCGTGTCCATTGCTCGGGAAATTGCATGAAAACACAACAACTGCTTTGTTTATCCAGTAAAGCCTAAAACATATTCGAGACACGTTCCTAATAAGAACCCTGCATGAGTTGTTTGGACCATTCCCACCTTCTTGTGATTACACGTTGGGAGGAAATACGAATTAATGGGGGGGGGGGGGGTGGGACCCCTCAAACGCCACACGTCTATGTCAAAGACCAGGCCGTTGTACTCCATTGTAATGATACCCCACCTGATGTGTCATCGACTTGTACGCGTGTTGTTCAGGGACGCGAAGCAAATTTCAGACGTAACGCCGGAAACAAATTAACCACGAGGTACAACCCACAAACACATGAAAGAGACACTCACCATAATGGTGAAAATCTATGCATAAATAAGAATGATATCTAGCTCAGCCTTTTGGTGTGGGTGCCTCATCTGCGATCTTTACGTGATTCACCAACCTCACATTTGAGTCACTGAATGGTAGGCATGGAATGCAACCATGCCCGGCATACATTAAAATTCAACTGGCAATAACATTAGGCAGGTTATCACGTCGTAAAAAAATTGGGAATATATATACACACACGTTGAGCCGATGGGTTACCTATTCCAATGTCTGGAAAATATAATTTTCATCTAATCTGTCAGTCCATACAATAACAATTATTTTATTTTATTACGAAACCCTTAAACCAATAATTGCTGATCGAGGTCTGTGTCGTAATTGGGAAGATTTCGAAAGAAAATACTTTGAGAAAGTAAAAGCATTCAAATAATCTAATTGGAACCCAGGCACATTGGTGTGAGTGTGCGAAGTAATTCACGTGTGTGGGTGGTGGAAGCATGCGTGTATAATACAACAGAGGCTCCCTCAATATAATGGCTTGCTAGTTTGTATTTTTTATTGCAATTCACTTTTTTGGCATTTTACAAATGTAGGATTTGGCTTAATTAGCCCAAAATAAAAAACAATGACTGTTATTTTATCTAGCTACCAAAGAAACTGCCGTTACAATCATTTCAATTACGAAATATGATTATTTGAATTTTGAAATGCATATCAACTCTTATTAATGGCAACGTCGTCCAACATTGAGCGGAGATAAATCCTTGTTGTTGTGCAATCAAAACTTCAATATTGTAAATAAAAAATGGGGGGCAGGAGGTGGTGGTGGGAGGAAGGGGTGGTGGGGGGGGATATAAAATTATTCCTTTCACATTCAATCACTTTCTGCTGGGGATTAATGCTTTTAAGATGGAAATGCCACTTATTCTATGGCAGGTGTGGGGGTAATTTGTAACTCGTCACTGTGAGCCTCGGTACACGAATGTTGTGATTATAATAAACATGACCTGTGATCTGATTTTTTTTATAAATGCATCAGGATGCATTCTCGCAACGATGACAGCCAAGAAATTATAAAAAAAAAATTGAATTAAAATTCCGCAATAATAATAATAACGGGACGTAACACTACTACAATGTCACACCCTGTTGCTCTGTCAGGTGCAATGTTATTGGAGCAAGGGCACTGGTGCGGTGCACCGTACCCTGCACTATCAACCTGGTGATGTTAGTTTGATTCCCCACCATAGCTAAGGTGAATGGCAAGTGATAACTGAACCGGTCCTGGGCCACATTTCACTAACCGACAGTGCCCAGCACGGTGAAGCATGATCAAACTCAATCAATTGCAATGCGCAGGGAGGTCTTCATCCAACATTGTATTGGAAAATGCCTGTGAATAACGATGAATAATATTAACACGTGCAACCAGGAGCAGTGCTTTCTTCTAAAACTGTGCACATGATAGCATAGAGAGGTGCATGTTTTGGAATTGAAGACAACACTGACGAGCAGAAAGAGGAATACATTGATTAGAGATACCATATTCACTGTTCCGAAAAGTGGGCTTGGGAGGGACAGGTCTCTAGGATGGGTGTTTGCCGATGGTCGAGACTTACGATGGAGTAGCAGTCGAAGGAGAGAACGGAGTCGAGATGATACAAAGGATGGAGATAGCGCCATGATAACAGCTCATGTGTAGGTACGAGATGAAATGTTACATCACAGGACCATATGAGCACGTGATGGCTCAGGGGAGACCTCTGTCCAGCAGTATATTGATCATGGCTAATGGTGATGACCATGATGAGAAATCATTGATGAAATGTTTGTGGACACCCTGCCATATATATGTTTACTAATGCCTAATACATGTATGTCATCGTCTTGGTTATTTCGGTAAAGCCACGTAGAAGGGAAATAATGATAAAAAATTAAAACAATAAAATAAAATTCTGACGACGTTTCGGCCACAACACCTTAACATCCTGCTAATCTCTTAGTACCTTTCAGCGTAATGTTTAATATAATTCATTTGGTAATATATAGTATCGTAATTGTATAGTGAATATACAGCTGTGTGGTATACAGTAGGGTTGGTAAAATAATACATAGTATAATATTACAAGTCTAATATTATTATAATCTAAAGTATAGGGTAGTGTATAGTAATGCAGTGTATAATTCAATGTTGGGGTCTGTCTATGGCAGTCTATAAAAAAAATTAGTTGGAGGCATATTATAATATTTTTTGCGACATAGAAGTGTAATGTATAATGACTTATTGTTAGTAGCTCAGCTTAGTGGAGAATATATTGAGTACATTGATTATACTGATGTAGTTTATATTTATTGTATTATAGTTGGGTAGTTGCAGTTCTTTAGCGTCAATATACTAAATGCCTCTGTTGATATGTAAACTCTGACTTTAACATAGCTACTTCCGTGACCAGTTACATGCTAATTCCTCACATTAACATCATGCTAATCTCCCAGATACATGCTAATTTATTACTTTAACATCGTGATAATATCTCACATTAACACAGCTACTTCAATGCTAAATTATTATGTTGATATGTAAACTCCTTTGTCAAGGCGCTCTGCTCCTCCCACCCAGCTTAAAAGACGCTGCCAAGCTTAGCGGTGTTCATTGGAGCGCTGTCTTTCCGACAGTTATGTTTCTTCACCTGAGGACGGCTGCTTGTGTTGTGGCCGAAACGTCGTGAGAATTTTATTTTATTACGTTTTATTTTTAATGATTTCCCTTCAACATGACTTTACCGAAAGAACCAAGAAGATGAATCCCTGCAGTCACGAAAGCTTTAAATCGAAATTTACATGTATGTCATCATAATAAGTAGTAGATACAGAATTAACATCCATCTCAAACCTACGACATTTGGCTCCAGGTAACCTCAGTATAGTATAAATATAAAGGTCAATGCATGCCTTGCACACACCCTGAGGAATTTTTGATAGCAATACTGTTTTACCCCATCTACGAGGGTTAATTGACCCGTGCCAATGACTGGGTGGAAGCAACAGCAGATTAAGAGATGTGATCCCCCTGGATTGCCTGTTCATAATGAACTAAATATTCTAAATATCCTCAGCTTAGGTGCAGATTACGGCATATTGGGGAGAACTTCTGAATCCTCCCCTCCCACCACCACCTTCTGGTGATTTAGATCGACTGATAACGGTGCCGTCTATTAAAATACCGTACGAAGAAAAATGTACACCCCAAATAAAATAAATTAATGATAATTCACTCCTTTCACGTGACGTTATGCAATCAATTGATCAACAAAGTGAAATTGATCATTAAGATGCGGAATTTCAATGCGTTAACGATTTGTGTGCATTTTTGGGTGCCGCGACGTGTGAACATCCACGCTGTCGTGTCTCCTAACACGAGCTATATTAATACTTGATAAAATACGGTGATCATACGGTTACAGTCTTATTATAGCTATCCATTCTCATAAACACAATATTTGCATTGTATGCAGTGCCTGCGAAGGCTTAATACAGAGGATGTCGAACCGATATGACTGATTGCAATCGTGCAGTGGTATAAATCTTCCCCCTCGGTATTGCTTTGGGGCACATTTAGAATTTGCAGCAGTCACTAAATTACATAACAATTATAGTGCTCTCTGCCGTGTTTGCTTGTCAGAGTAAGAAGTCAGTACGC